ATATATATATATACATATATACACATATATCTTGTTCACTCAGCTGAAAAGGTGAACCGAGTTGTAAAATGTTCACCACATCGAAGTAAACTGAGTCAGATGGTGCCCAAGACCGCTGGACATACCTGGAAAACCCAAACAAGTAGTGATGATAAACTGGGTGACTGATAGAGGCCCATGTCTGTCGAATCTTTAACTCCCACATCTGAAAGGATTTCTTTTGCATCCCAGGGGAGGGTGGGGTAAATAAAGTCATAATGGGCCATGTTCAGGACCAATTCGGAGACATCCAGCTCATCTGTACCTGTCACGGCAGTGGGACCAGGGGTGTTCTGAAGCAGTAGAGCAGTATCAGAGCACCAAAAGGGCTGTGGCTTTGGCAATTGTAGAATCATGGGTGTGAGCACCATGTTTGGATGATATTCACCCTCGCATCTCAACATTGACACTGACATTGTGGGGCTGTCAAATTTAACAAACAAATGTAACAAATCTAAGCATGTTTTCAGCAGGTGTTGGATTCAACCCCTTGTCTCTAACGTTCTTGATTTATATCGACAGGATTGCAAGGCATTTCCAGGTTGAGAAGGGTGTGGAAGAGAAGAGTGCAATCTTCAGCATGCACTGGTGCAGTTTGCAACAGAGTATGAAATGTCTGGGATGAGAGTCAGCACACCCAAGAGTCTGAGGCCATGGTTCTTTGCCAGAAAAAGAGTGGAATGGTCTCTCTGGGTCGAAGGTGAGAGGCTTCCTTAATCAAGGGAGTTCAAGTGTCTTATTCATGAGTAATGAGTAATGGAGTACAGGCTGGACTGGCAGATTGGAATGGCATCAGCTGTAATGTGAGCATTGTATTGGATTGCCATAGTGAAGAGGGAGCTGAGCTGAAAGGCAAAGCATTCAATTTACCAGTCCCTCTACATCACAACCCTTACCGTTGGTTATGAAATCTGGGTAATGGCTGTTTGCAAGAGTTTCCTCTGTAGGATGGCTGGGTTCGGCTTTAGACGAAGGTTAGGGAGCTCAGACATCCAGAAAGATTTCAGAAGAAAGCTGCTTCTGCATGTGAAAAAGAGCCTGGGCACCTCCTTTTGGAAATGTTCCAGGCACACCTAACTTGGAAGAGACCAGGGCCCTATTTCAGGAAGCCGGTTTAGTGGAAAAACTGAGTAAGTATACCCTGAGTTAACGAAAACTCTGGGTTTTCGGTTTCACAAAGCGAGTTTAGATTAATTCTGAGTGAGTTACTATGACGACACACTCCGTGAAGCTAACCTGCCCCCAAGCAGG